TGTGTTCATTTACAGGCTCAATTTTTTTCCGTTTCTCCTTTTTGATTTTATATGGGGTTTCAAGTTGTTTTTGACTTATTTCGACGTAAATCACAACAACACACTTTTTTAATAAAGCAAACAAGTGTTAAGAGGTATATGTACGTGTAAACTACAATTACAAAAAATTGATATGAAACCCATGAAACCACCAACAAAAATGTAACTAGCTTCCGTACTAGAACATGGTGTCATTCGTCGAGATAATTTATCGCTTTGTTTAATAGATCAAGAAATGTAAATATTCCCCTGTTATTTTTTATAAAATTATAAGAGAAATAAATTTTTTTCTAAATAGTATAGTTTATTATTTTGTAGAAAAACAATATTTCGAAAATTTTAGTAATGTTTCAGAAACAACCGTTATTAATAATAGGTACCATTTTCCTTAATAAGGTAGAAATAAAATATAAACTATTTCCACGATTTACAAAGGCCTACAAAAAAATTATAGGTATTTTCCGCTATCCTATAAAATTTATATTTTCTGACTCAATTTCAAAAGGTTGAAGGAATTCCAAAACACCTTTTATGGCATAATAATTATTTTCAATTCTACATACTATCTTTAGCTGCTTTTAAAAACGTTCTAAGAAAGTCCAATCAGACCAATTTAATCCCTAAACTATTCCACACTTTTAAAATTTAATTACCTAAAAATATTAAAAACTATTTGAAATAACTTGTTTAGCAGACTGTACAATAGCTATCTTAGTCACACGTAGCGCGTTCTCTGTCTGGGCGTCGAACACCTCTAGAAATTTGATGAACTGTAAAATAAAGAAAGAATCAAATGAAAAGTACTTATTGTTTGCAAAACATGGTTTTAAGCCATAGGGTTTTTAAATAATAATATACCATTGGGTTCTGGTCCCATAAAAACTATATTCATTTTTCTGGGAGTTTGCAATAAGGTTCTTGCATCTTTTGGTAGTTGTTTAATTTTAATTGTTCATATAATTATTCTCACTAATTTATTTACAATTTTATGTGGTAAATAACCTACGAAAGGTTAGTCGCCTAGTAAGAGCTTCGCATTCGAAGATCACATGGTATAAGGTTTCTTCCTCTTCCATGCAGAGTCTACACGTAGTGGGATCATTGTGTTATCCCATCACATGATGGTGTTTCAGCAAGCAGTGCCCCGTTAGTTATCCCACAATGGTGGATATCTGAGGCCTTGCGAGTTGTAGTGCCTCAGTATAGCCATGCGTAGGTTTGGTCCTCTTAGCAGGAGCTTACTGATTCTGTGCCCTCTTATCTGTTGCCAGTGGATTTTGTATTTTGTGATTATCCACCTGTTCACTGCCTGTCGAGCAGAGGTTTTGCTTATCCCAAATACAGGTTCGGGTCCTGTGAATGGTAGATCTGATCCCTTTTTGGCGAGTTCATCAGCCTTTTCATTTCCTTGGATACCTTTGTGCCCTGGTACACACGCTAGTTTTACCTTGTTGTGGGTTGCCACCAGATCATTTAGTATTCCAAGGCAGTTCCAGACAAGCTTTGACTTGATTCTGTTTGAATCAAGAGCCTTTAAGGCTGCTTGGCTATCTGAGAGAATTAGGATGGTTTGTTTTTTGTACTTCCTTCTTAAATTCTCTTGTACACACAATTCGATTGCATGTATTTCAGCCTGAAATACAGTGGCATGTTTTCCCAGTGAGACGATGATGTCGCATTTGGGTTTAACTCCATATACGCCAGAGCCTGTTCCCTTGTTAGTTTTAGATCCATCCGTATACCATACGAGACCGCTAAGCAAGTATTTATCTATCTCCTTATTTACCTCGTTTCAGTTACAGTTGACCTGGAAGAGTCTGTTAAAGGTTAGGAGGGGTGTCATGTGATCTGATCCTATATTTAATATAGAATCATTTACTTCATGTGTTATTCTGGTATGTTTTATATGTCCCAGTGGGTTCCAGTTGTTGGAGATTTTCAGTGTGTATGCACTCATTCTGACTAGGTCAAGGGGTGGGAGGTTTAGAATGATTTTCATAGAGGCTGTCGGTGTACTTCTCAGTGCTTTTGTAATACAAAGGCATGCCAGCCTCTGTACCTGAGAGGGTATTGAGATTGAGGGCTGTTTTCTGGTTTACTTTTGGCCACCAAACAATCGCTCCATAAGTTATAATGGGTCTTGTTATTGCCAAATATAGCCCGTGGACCATTTTTGGTTTTAATCCCCATGTTTTTCCAAATGCCCGTCTCCCTACTATGAGATACATTTTACATTTGTTGGTCACTTTTTGTAAGTGTTGGTTCCAAGTAAGTTTGCTATCTAGGATCAGACCCAGATATTTTACTTGGTTCGTTTTGTTTAGCCTTTCTCCAAACAGAGTCGGAGTTTCTAAAACCTCCAACCTTGTTTTCCGAGTAAAGGTTATGATTTGTGCCTTGTCAGGGTTTACCAAGAGGTTTTCCCTAACGCACCACATTTCTGTCAGCCCATACTTTTAGTTATTGGTCCCTATTTTCATGCCAATTTCTATGTTGCAATATTTCTTGGTCTTTATTAGTTGTTTCTTTTTATAACTATCTTAGAAATTATTACAGAAGCACACTTCCGAATATTCATGTTAAAAACAACGAATGGTTTTATTGTATTGGTAAGTACTGCGGATCTGTGTTTAAAATATTCCTAATTTTTTTTTTCTTGAAGTACTTTAATGCGTCCAGTTTAAATTGGTTTTGGTTTTTTTACATCTATAAGAGCCACCACTTTTTCGGATACATAATTCTCTTCTAAAATCTACAAAGCCGTTATTCCTCTAATTCCTAACCTTAGAAAGATAATAATACATTCTAGGAATACAATAAATGTCTCTTTCATCTAAGAATAATATACACATTTAACCACTAAACAACTTCTATAGTAACGGTGTATTATATAATTTAAAATAAAAGGACCACTGAAGCAGTTTTATTGCTAAATATTGTTAAATATTGCTCAACAAGTTCTAACAAAAACGTCGTACTATTAGTTTCTACACTATTAAAAAGTTGTGTATCAGTTATAAAAAATTAAGTTATTTAACGTGTCGTTTACCTGTGTTTTGTGATGTTTTAATCAATTATACCAACATTTTATAGCTTTGTGTGTTACTTGGGGGAACAGACCTTTAGTATTTTCAAAGTGGGTACTTTGTGTAGAAGTATAGCCTTTTTCAAAAACTAGTCATAAGATGGAGTTAGCTCCGAGAACGTTAAAAGCAAGATTACTTAATTATCTTGAAACACATAATCTTTTATATGCACAACAATTTGGTTTTAGACCGAGAAGATCTACAGTTTCAGCTTTGGTAGATTTAGTTTCAGCGATCTCCGAAGAACTAGAAATTGGTAACAAGATAATGGTCTCTTGTCTAGATTTATCGAAGGCATTTGACTGTGTTTCAAATAAACTACTTTTATCGAAGCTGGAAATGTATGGTATAAGAGGAACTCCTTTAAAACTTTTAAGTAGCTACTTGTCGGAACGTAGTCAGTATGTCCAAGTAAATCATGGTGATAAGACAAAAGTAAGGAGTATAGAACATGGAGTCCCACAGGGCTCAGTTCTGGGTCCGCTATTTTTTATAATCTTCATTAACGATATTTTCGAGTATATCAAGAAAAAAGAAGTTATTTATGCTGATGACGTTACCGTCCTGGACATCGCCAGTTCTTTAAATAATCTATACTGCTCGCATAATAAAACCATTTTGGAATATTCTAATTATTTTAAGATGGTAAATTTAAAACTAAATGAGGATAAAACTCAAAATTTAATATTTAATTTAAATCCATTAGAAAACAATGAGAGATGTTCAATTAAATATTTGGGTATTCAGGTTGACAATAGTTTTTCTTGGGAACCACATATAAATAATCTTCTAACTCGGTTATCTAGTTATTCATATTTATTAAGAAATCTTGCATATCAAGTAAATGACAAGGTCTTACTTATGCCTTATCATGGTTTATTTCACAGCATTATGACATACGGTATACTTGTTTGGGGAAGCTCATGTCTTCTAGGTAAAATATTGATTGCACCAAAGGAAACCATTCGAACAATAACTAAAGCTAATTTCAGGGACAGATGTCGTCTACTTTTCAAAAAATTAGGAATTCTGACATGTGTAAATCAATATATCTATGAATGTTTAATTTATGCAAAGAGGAATATTATTAACTTATGCAACGCCTATAAAACAAGAAATATGCAAGTAAGATTGCCATTTTTTCGACTAACAAGGAATCATAATTCTTTTCAATTTTTACATGTGAAGTTGTTTAATCTACTTCCCCTTGAGTGGCGCCTGCTTAACGAGATAAAATTTTCCAAAAAAATAAAAACTTTTCTGAAGGAGAATGTTTTCTATGATATCCATGAATTTTATCGACATTTTGAATTGACTTATATATTTTTTTAATTTGTTCTTCAGTCTACATGTATTGTAGTTATAGTCTTCAATTTATTGTAAATGTTTTTGTTTTTATACTATTAGTGACATAAGTATTAATTGTAATTGAAATTGACAAATGTATACAAAACATTATTTGTCTTAACATAATAAAAAGTAACAGTAAAAAGTAACAGTAACAGTTTAAAAATTTAAAAATTAAATTTCAACCCAGCATAGTAGACGGCAAAGAAACAAAAATAAAATCAAAATCAATCTAACTTAAAAAGGTTAAAAAATAGATATTTTCTTTATTTTTTCTAAAATAATACCTTCATAGACAAATTATACTCCGTTAAATAGTGCAAAATTCAAACCTACAAAAAGTATTTCGGTAACTCTATAATTTACCACAATTAACATCCCTATTAAACTAAAAATAATCCAAAATCTGTCAACACTTAAAATTAATTACGAACATCGCACCATCGATAGTTTCCTGTACCCCTCTCCCGATCTCCACTCCAATCAATCCCGATGTCTCCTCCTACAGCCTTCGTCACTCAATAGCCAGATGGCGCTCTAGCGCCGTCACACGAAACAAAATCCTCGCGCCGCATTCATCCCGCGCCACCACGATCGAAGTGCGCCCCCCTCCATCGCGCAAAATCGTTCCTGCATCCCCAGGAAGGTCCTTCTTACGTAAAGGGTAGTTGACGGTATAGCCAAAGAACGATGGCAGACAAAAAAGTGAATGAATATTATATGCGGCCACCGGTTTTGACCAAATGGGAGGGTTTCAAACAGTTTCTGTGGAATCCTGAAACGAACCAGTTCCTCGGAAGGACAGGGGCCAGTTGGGGTAAGTAACCCAGTAACCTGCGATCATGGTAGTGTCTTAAAAAAGCCTATGGGCTGCTACAATCTCCAATTTTCTTAAATCGCTAATATTAAACTATTTTCTATTTGCGGTAGCCACTGTATTTCCCGATTTGGCCTATTGATTTTTTCAAAAAGACCTATTTTTTCTGAATAGAATTTCTTTTCTACCAATTTTAATAATTTTTTATAGTTAATAACAAGTATTTATCTTTCTTTTGTTAAAAATACACAAAGAAAATGATGTATGTAATTTCAATACTTAATCTGTGCCCTCTGACCTTTTACGTTTCAAAATGTCAAACTGAAAACTATTTATATAACAATTAGCGTGCAATTAATAAAATATAATCTTTCAGATATTTTTATATATCATCACAATTATCGATGCAAACGATGCTAATTTGGAGCTTTTTTAAAAAAAATTTGACGTTAAAGGTTTTCGTAATGGCGTCTTTTGTGCTATAATGGTAATGGAGGAGACGCCCGTTCTGTTTAGTGACTTTTATGCGATTATTGACATTTACATAAAAGCTAGTTCAAATTGAATGTGGAGGTTATATTCTTCAATTCTAAAGTGAATAAAAAAGTAATAGAGCGTATTCTTGGAAACTGTGGGTGTAACTTGTTTTAATTTTTTTTTTATTTTTGTAGTTATATCACCAGTTGTCCTATTGTCGTTTTTTTCGAAATTATAAAAGTTACTTTGTTGGTTAAAAAGTAGATGCAGAAATTTATGATTTGATTTAGGGAAGGGCAATGTTGAGTAATAAATCAATATGATAATATAGTAAAATATAATATAATTTAACAGAATCATACAACTTTGTATGAAAATAAAGGATAGATCACTGTAATAATCACCATATTCTTGGTACAACTATCTCCATTTTTCTTTGTTTGGAATCATAGCTCTCAAATATTCTTCTTCTTGATAGATTTGATATTAAGAGTGGAGAACCCCACCTTCTCCTTTATCGTCTTTTTCAGATCTATTCTAATGGCCTCAGCAACCCTTTGAATTAGCTCAACTATGTAGTATAATTCACCTCTTACGAGTAATTTTTTTTCTCCAAATGTAAGGATTCTTAGATTTAAAAAAATCTTTGCAGTAACAAGTACGTGTAGGTACTGCAGTTTCCTACTTTTTCTGACAGAATCGATACAGAATCTCTTGTGTCAGGCTGATCTTGTACAGGGTATCTGATTGAAAGCTGTTAGGAACTATATTACAGAATATTTTGAAGGAGCATATAGAAAATGCAAAAACATATCATATCCTCAATTGTCATACATCGTTATCCTTCCTTGCATCACTCTATAGTCTAAAAAAAAGTGGAGTGCAGTAAAAGTGGGGATATAACGTCACATTACATAGGCGTACTTTGCAAAATAAGTTTCTATAATATAAATAAGGTCACGGCACATAAAATAGTATATACGCAACTTCGTAGATTACATTTTTAATTAAAAAGTTATATTATTTACAAAAAATAAAAATAAATCTTATGATTCTGACAAAATTGTTGCACTTAAACATTGAACGAATTAAATTTAACAAATAAATTACAAGAAGGATTATATGTTGTTAATGGGATTAAACTTTTTTTAATCTCTTGGCATTAAAATACCTATACCTAAAATAAAAGACTTAAAAAAAAATAAAAAGTTCAAGTCACTGTCTTCACTATAACTAATGGTATCATTATAATTGTCTTTTCTGAGGTTTATTATTACAGGGTTTATTAAGTTTTCCATTGCTATATCCACTTTCCAAAATAAATTTTCCACCTTTTTAACGTGATCAATTCATTTTCTTCAATGTTCTCCATTTACATCTAAAATTGCCTTCAAAAACAAATTTTCGAGAAACATAACCTTTTAATTGTGACCAGATCAGTTCAATGGGATTTATCTTTGCGTGATAAAGAGGCAACCTAAGAATTTCAATTCTTTTTTCTTGGGCCATCTCGTCTATAATATATGTTTTAAATTTGTTTTTATATTGCCTTGCAATTACAAGTAACTCTGCCTTCAAGGATGTAGGAAGACTGATAATATTTTTAGAACGAAGCTATTTTGAAATAACTTCTTCATATTCACACAGGGGTGGAAAGTAGATTCAAATTTACACGCGTGTGATATAGGACACTTCTCATAAGACTTACTAGTGCGATATGTGTCACTTTCTTAAGTGGTCGTAGGAAAAAGTGATTCGAATAAAATATGTGTGGAAAATTCTCATCTTTAATTCATAATATAAATATTATTAGATAGGCCGTCCTTAATATATTTGATAACTTTACAGGAGAGTTAATTCCACATAACTTTACCAATTATTTTAATTTGTTTACTACAGTTTAAAATCCACTACTCCAGCAAGTACTACTTTTTACAGTAATAATTTGAGCAGGGGCGGCTACTATTTAAGGCCGCATGGCCGCGCGCCCCTCCTTAAAATACCAGAGATACCAGAGAAAAAATACTAATTAAAAATATTATTTATTTGTTTATTTTATAATTTTTCCTATCTTCTCGACCATGCCATGAGTGTTATTTATTAGGTTGCCTCCTATATTAACAATTTATGAACTTATTAACTGGACTATAGACGACCGCGCTAAGTTTGAGGCCCCCGTCACCATGGCAATGTAGTGGGACACGCGCTATCGAGTATGTCTTGGTTATAGTGCACGATACACATATTAAAGGTATGCTGACTTTCGATTCAAAATTCGTCCAAACCGCGCATGACGTAATGCGGGACGAACTTTCAAGTTGTTTTGACACTTTTCGATTGAATAGTGTAAAATAATTTAATAATTTATTTTGTTTTTGTGTTAGTAGTGACTATATTTTCCTATATATAATAGGGAAGAACTAAATTAATGTTTAAAATGTCGGGCTGCGCGGTGGAGATATTTCCAAATGCCACAAAATATGGGTAAATTCTTATCGAAGAAAGGACAAGCTTAATTGAAGTTGCCCTATCCACTTTGAGGAAAGTAGTTGTGAGATTTCTCCTAAACATAGACGCAAGAAAAGGAAACTGAATTCTGTAATATCTTCAATTCATTACTAATTATTTAATATTCCCAGTTATTAAGTTAATCGGAGCGAATTTATTATGAGAAATAAAACAAGTAAATGTTGTATTATAACTGACTTTATTTCGCTATATTCCACAAGAAGGTAAACTCAATAGTAATACAAAAAACGGCTATCGCCAAACATTGATATTATTACAGGGTGATACGCATCACATATTTATTCCAATATATTACAAATTCCACCTGGTGCACGGGCCTCATTAAGCTAAGAAAATAAATCGGTATTTAAAAATTTTAGCAGATAAAACAGTAGTTTTCAGTCCCAATACAACGGTCCTTTTGAAGTAATGCCATGCATGAGCAGAACAAGAACATATCGTCGATCTAAAGCTTACTTTAATGTTATAACGATCTTGGTACCAATTAAATCGCATTTTAGTCTTCTTTATTGGGCACAAACATTGTAGTTTCAACATGGCTCCAACACCCACCAAACTACAATAAATTCAAATTTAAAACTGAAAAGTAAGGCATTTAATTACACTGTCTAGAAGTTTAAATTTGCGATTGTCCAAAAATGCGTTTTTGGATATACAATAAGTGTGCTTTAGACCGACGATATATAAGAATGAGATAAATAAACAGAAAATTGGTTTTGAGCATTTTCAAAGTAAACTTGACAAAAAATGTTTAAATTTACCAAATAAAAGGTAATTTTTTTGTGTATTTACTTTTTATAAATAAATAATTTGTTTATAAATACTTATTTTTATTTCACATAATAAGAAAAGAGATTTCAAGAGAACTACCACGCCTAGAAAGTACTAATTTGAGTCAAACTTGTATTTTTAGTCTATTATTTTATTTATCTTATGGCCAGGTTATGGATTTTGTCACAAAATACCTATAATTTATGAAAAAAAAAATATTTTTATAAGTATTGTTTACCTTATTCATATTTGTAAACAAATATAATATTACACATTAACCAATAAAGCTTAAACTAACTGCATAAAATCTAAAATGTGCAAAATATCGAATTTTAAACACTATCTCTCATTTAATGCTTATAATTCTGTCGTCAGTCAGCTGCATGCGCAGGAACATACCGTTAGTCTGTTACACTGTGTTATAGTGCCAGATTAGGGCGCAATTTTTTCGCGGCGGACCAGCATTTAGAATTTAGCTGATGAGGCGTCAGGCGATTGTTGCTTATTTAAAGTTGTTTTATAGTTTTCACGGAATTTTTAGGAAGCTCCATGTTAAATGATTGACTTATACGCCTTAGATATGATATCAATAAATAGAAATTTAGTTCTGGAGATAAATAATTTCGACTCAAAAGTTATGGAAAATGTTATTTCATTGAGGGATCTTACAGCAGATTTTAATTTTGCTATGAACATTCGTACAAACAAAAATTATAAACAATATAAATATGTCGATTTTCATGTTTTTTTTTAGAATAATTATTTTTGTAAGATGTTTTACTATAAGAATCATAGTTCATTTTGTTTGACTATCGACAATGCACAGTATGCAGTGTGTTATATTTTCTATATTAATGAAAAAATACAAATTAAATAACAAATTTTACATAATCCCCACCCTCAGGCCAATTGGCTTCCCCCCACCTTCGCAGCTCACGAGTCGCCACTGAATTTGAGGAATCGGATGATCTTTCATACTGTTATATTATGTAATGATAAGTTACAGTTCATCAAATTTCTAGAGGCTTTCGACGGCTAGACAGAGAAAGCACTACTGACAGGCATCCCGACGGATTTACGCAATGAAAGTACACTCTGCGCATCAAGTATTTCACTATTTCATTCAGACGTAAATGAGATGTAAATTTCGCTAAAACGTTTCTTTTATTTTCGTTTGTGTTTTTTGCTCATTACAGTTTAATAGAACCTAAGTATGGAGTTTA